CTACTCCTCCGCCCCATCCCATCTCCCTTATCCTCCTCCTCCTCCCTCCTCCTCCTTCGTCCTCCCCCTCCTCCTTCTCTGCTGTCTTCTCCGCCGCGTCTTCCTCATCCGACGGTAAGCTCGACAATCCCAAACCTGGGCATGATCAGGCTGATTCCGACCTGAAGCTTTGACTTGACGGCTGACTTGCTTCTCTGTTCCATTGCATGATCACTTCCCTGGTCGAGGCAACTCGCCTGGCGTGCGCTTCTAGATTGAGCATGGGGAAAGCGGGTCCTGATGGAAACGGGTCATATACCCTGGTGCCTTCCCCCAGGACGAGATTTTCATCCCGAGTCGCTGTCTGACAGCCCCGGGGCCCGTGGAGGGCCCCGAACGCCCGAAAACTGTGAAACAACTCGGGACCTGTTTCCCCATGGCGATAGATGGGCTGGTCGGGATGCTTTTTAGTCAGCGGCCGCAGGCGAGAGCGCCAGCGGCGAGTCCAGTCAGAGCGGGCCGCGCAAAGACGAATTAACCTAAAGCGGTGGGCCGAAGCCTCACGCGGCACCTCAGCGGCCACGCCGGCGAGTGGGAAGGGGCTGACAGCAACTGCTGAAGAGCTGCACTGCCAGGGCTGGTCGGGGTGCGCGAAGCGTCAAGACGAGGAAACGCCGCTCCCCACGAAGTGCTACTCGCAGAGCACAGCCGCCCGCACTTCCGAGGCTGGCGGGGATTAGGATTAAGTCGGGCTTGTCCCCCTACAGGGGGATTTTCGACGAAAAAATTTAAAACAAAATCCACCCAAAATAATCAAACAGTACTTTAACAATAGTCTGGGGACAATTTTTCCCCACATGTTTCGTGGGGTTCTGGTTTTCTTCCCTGCCGCGGCGCACCCGCGTCTCCTCACCTCCCCCCTCTCTCCTTCTTACACAGCGCAGCACAGCACAGCACAGCACAGCACAGCACAACACAGCACAGCACAGCACATGCACAGCAGCGTGGGGGGTGCGTAGGGGCTGGTCTCTCACCGCGGCCGCTATCCGTGACGGTCGTCCAGGGCACAGCAGGCATGGCATATTCTCGACACCATAGGGGTGCGCAAGGGGTGGTCTCTCACCGCGGCCGCTGTCCGTGACGGTCGTCCAGGGCACAGCAGGCATGGCATATTCTCGACAGCGTAAGGGGTGCGCAAGGGGTGGTCTCTCACCGCGGCCGCTATCCGTGACGGTCGCCCAGGCACAACAGGCATGGCATATTCTCGACACCATAACGGGGTGCGCAGGGGGTGGTCTCTCACCGCGGCCGCTATCCGTGACGGTCGTCCAGGGCACAGCAGGCATGGCATATTCTCGACAGCGTAAGGGGTGCGCAAGGGGTGGTCTCTTACCGCGGCCGCTATCCGTGACGGTCGTCCAGGGCACAGCAGGCATGGCATATTCTCGACACCATAGGGGGTGCGCAGGGGGTGGTCTCTCACCGCGGCCGCTATCCGTGACAGTCGTCCAGGGCACAGCAGGCATGGCATATTCTCGACAGCGTAGGGGGTGCGCAAGGGGTGGTCTCTCACCGCGGCCGCTATCCGTGACGGTCGTCCAGGGCACAGCAGGCATGGCATATTCTCGACACCATAGGGGGTGCGCAGGGGGTGGTCTCTCACCGCGGCCGCTATCCGTGACGGTCGTCCAGGGCACAGCAGGCATGGCATATTCTCGACACCATAGGGGGTGCGCAGGGGGTGGTCTCTCACCGCGGCCGCTATCCGTGACGGTCGTCCAGGGCACAGCAGGCATGGCATATTCTCGACACCATAGGGGGTGCGCAGGGGGTGGTCTCTCACCGCGGCCGCTATCCGTGACGGTCGTCCAGGGCACAGCAGGCATGGCATATTCTCGACAGCGTACGGGGTGCGCAAGGGGTGGTCTCTCACCGCGGCCGCTATCCGTGACGGTCGTCCAGGGCACAGCAGGCATGGCATATTCTCGACACCATAGGGGGTGCGCAGGGGGTGGTCTCTCACCGCGGCCGCTATCCGTGACAGTCGTCCAGGGCACAGCAGGCATGGCATATTCTCGACACCGTAGGGGGTGCGCAGGGGTGGTCTCTTACCGCGGCCGCTATCCGTGACGGTCGTCCAGGGCACAGCAGGCATGGCATATTCTCGACACCATAGGGGGTGCGCAGGGGTGGTCTCTCACCGCGGCCGCTATCCGTGACGGTCGTCCAGGCACAGCAGGCATGGCATATTCTCGACACCCTTAAGGGGGTGCGCAGGGGGTGGTCTCTCACCGCGGCCGCTATCCGTGACGGTCGTCCAGGGCACAGCAGGCATGGCATATTCTCGACACCAATAGGGGGTGCGCAGGGATGGTCTCTCACCGCGGCCGCTATCCGTGACGGTCGTCCAGGCACAGCAGGGCATGGCATATTCTCGACACCATAAGGGGTGCTCAGGGGGTGGTCTCTCGCCGCGGCCGCTATCCGTGACAGTCGTCCAGGGCACAGCAGGCATGGCATATTCTCGACAGCGTAGGGGGTGCGCAGGGGGTGGTCTCTCACCGCGGCCGCTATCCGTGACAGTCGTCCAGGGCACAGCAGGCATGGCACATTCTTTACACCACAAGGGGGTGCGCAGGGGGTGGTCTCTCACCGCGGCCGCTATCCGTGACGGTCGTCCAGGGCACAGCAGGCATGACATATTCTCGACACCATAAGGGGGTGCGCAGGGGGTGGTCTCTCACCGCGGCCGCTATCCGTGACGGTCGTCCAGGGCACAGCGTATCGGCGGGGCAACGGCCACCAATATCCCTCACATGCTTCACTTCAGCTCTCATCCATCCAGCCATCATATAAGTATGTGGGGTTCCTCGGTAGCGTAATTTGAATATTTGTTTACCCTTTTGGGGCATTTGTGGGGTATTTTGTTATGTGTCGTCGAAAATCCCCCTGTAAGGGGGACACGCCCGACAGAAGATCAGGAGCAGAGGGGCGGCCCCGTCTCCTGCGGCAGGGACGGGGGGCTTTTCGCGGAGGCCTCCCCGCCCTCGGAGAGCGCCTCAAAGGCTGGAGAGCAGGCCTCTCTGTCTTTTGAGCGGGGTCGGAACCAAGCGCCACAGGGCAGTCTTTAATACATCGGATTTTTAAACACATAGGATTTTAATACATGATTAATTGATGGATCATTCTTCTATGAACTCATCGCTGTTTGTAATACTAAATCCCTGCATTTTCGATGCATGATCCGCACGCGGAGCATGTATAAAAAACGGCACTGCACACTCCCAGCAGCACAGGACCGCACGAGGGCCCCAACAAAAACACGACGGACGAGCGGGGCCCAGAGGAACGACACAACGGCGGGGGGACGGCGGTTCGAGCGCTCTGTTTTGAACATGGGCCAGAACCAAGCGCTACACTCCCAGCGCAGCGCAGGACCGAACGAAGGCCCCCAACAAAAACACGACGAGCGAGCGGGGCCCGGAGGAGCGACACAACGGCGGAGGGGCGGCGGTTCGAGCGAAGAGCCGGGGTCCGAAACCCGCAGGGACAGCCAGGCAAGGCACACCAAAGCAGGTGCAGTCTCATGCGGTAAGAAGGCTTCGTGGGCGGGGGAGGGGGGGGCGCCTACATCCCCCCTCGAAGTCAAACGCAAAATTTTCTAGCGACGTGGCGGCGCCCCAGGATCCCAAAATTGCAACGCTCGCGCCGAAACTGGCGACTGCAGACACCAAAACCTGACCCCGTGGGCCGCCTGTCGCGCGTCGACCAACAAGAAAAACTTGCGCTTGATTCCGAGGGGGACGGCTGTCCTTCCCAAACCCCCGACGTCATGATTTTTTCATGACGCGACCAGCAAAAGTCTGGACCCGTTCCCCGGGACCGGCTTTCATCCTGAATCATTTTTTGACGGTCCCGAGGCCCGGTGAGGGCCCCCAGATAGGGAAACGAACTCTATACACCGACGCTGTTTCCGATCCTGCGCTGAAATTCGCACAGGAACGCGGATCCTGGTGTATACGGGATCCTGGTGTATACATGTTCGTTGTTTCCCTTGGAAAACGGGGGAACAGTATACACCACACCACCCCGACGTCGTCCCCGACCCTCAAGAAAAGTCCGGGGATCGAAGAAAAGCAGCCCGCGACTGGTAATGTATAGATGTCCCAGCTCCCGACCCAGAGGCCGAAAAAGTAGCCAAACGCCTCCCGTCGTGATTTTCTCTTGGCTCGAGGGGGGTCCGCCTGGCGACAGGGCCCGCATCGGACGCGCCCGCGCCCGAGCCCGACTCCGCCGCAGCCCAAGCCCTGAGCCCACGCCCGACCCCGCGGCCCTGGCCCTGACCCGAGCCAAGGCGCCCGGGCCCGAGCCAGGTGGCGCCCGCCGCCGCGCCGCCCGCTCGCCGACGAGTCTGGCCGCCAGGCGCGGCCGCGCCCCAGGGAAGCGCGCGGCCCCGCCGCGAGGAGCGGAACGGTCCGTCCCGCTCCTCGCGACAGGGCCCGCTCACCCGGGCCCCCCGCCGGCATGCCCGCCAGCGAGAGCGCGGGCCGCGCCACGCGGCCGGGCACCCCGCACCGAGCAGGCGAGCGCCCCGAGGCCGGAGGTCGCCCGCGGGCGGAGCGCGACCCATGGCGTGCGCGGCGAGGGGGCCACTTTGGGAGTCCCGCGGCGACGGACCGCGCGGTGCCCTCGACATCCCCCAAGACCTCACCGCACGGTCCGTCGCCGCACGGTCTCGGGACCTCGGAGGCCCCAGTCGCTTGGAGAACGACCCGAGTCCCTCAACCGTGCGGCGACCCCGAATCCCCACCGACTCACCGCACCGTGTGGTCACCACCCCGTTTGGGAGCCCCCGAGACGTCCTCGGAGGACGGCCCGAGTCCCGAAACCGTGCGGTGGCCCCGAAGCCCCACCGACTCACCGCACGGCGTGGTCGTCACCACCCCGCGTGGGAGCCCCCCCGAGCCACCGCGCGCGGGCCGGCGGGGCCCGGGGGAAAGACGGCGAGGGAAGCGAGACGCCTCCGCTCGCTGTCCATGCGGGCCTGGAGCTCCTCCACCTCCCGCAGGCGCCTTGGAGCGAGGGGGGAGGCGGGGAGCAGAGGGGGAGAGGCCAGCGAGAGGGGTGCAGGGGCGGGACAGGGAGGAGGAGGAGGAGGAGGAGGAGGAGGAGGAGGAGGAGGAGGAAGAGGAGGAGGAGGAGGAAGAGAGGAGGAGGAGGAGGAGGAGGAGAGGAGGAGGAAGGAGGAGGAGGAGGGGGCGGCGCAGGGGGAGACAGAGGGGGCGAGGCGAGGGAGAGGCGGGCAGGAGGCGGGGAGAGGGTTGGGGGGCGTGGCGACGCGGAGGGGGGTCGCAAGGGGGGAGCCACGGCGCCCGAAGCAGTCGCGAGAGGGCGTCGTGCAGCAGGTGCGCTCGGGCTGGCCCGAAACGGAGCGGCGACGTATGCCGTCGGGGAGCCGCGTTGACAGGAGCACCGCAGTCTTCTTACTTGCGGTGGCGGGCGCCGCCCACTGCCAACCCCGCGCACACCTCGCACCGATCCCATCGGGCGAGGGCCGCCCGATGCTCGAAGCACCAGGCGCGCTCTCGAGGGCGCTGATCTGCCACGTGGGGGCCTGCAAACCACGTGCAGGCCAGGGAGGAGGGGGAGGAGGAGGCGGAGGAGGAGGAGGAGGAGGAGGAGGAGGAGGAGGAGGAGGAGGAAGAGGAGGAGAGGAGGAGGAGGAGGGGAGGAGGAGGAGGAGGAGGAGGATTCGCCCTCCAGGCTGCACATCCCCAGCCGCGGGAGGGGGAAGGAACGGCCGCCCCGGCCAGGCACCGCCCCGCTCGGCCAGCTCGGGCTCCGCAGGGCCGGCCGGCCGCCGCAGCGGCCGGCCGCCGCCGCCGAGGGAGGGAGGACGGGGCACGGGAGGGGGAGGAGGAGGAGGAGGAGGAGGAGGAGAGGAGGAGGAGGAAGAGGAGAGGAGGAGGAGGAGGGGAGGAGAGGAGGAGGAGGAGGAGGAGGAGGAGAGGGAAGGAGAGGGAGGAGGAGGGAGGGGGAGGAGGCGAAGGATGAGGACCAGGAAGGGGAGCGGCCTGGCTCACTTTTTCTTCGCGCACGCGCTCTCTTACCCTCAGGGCCGCCTCCGGCCTGCCATCGGAGCTGAAGGGTGTGCCCGTGTATGTGCTTTGGTGGATTTGCGTTACGTCGGGCATGTCCTCCTACAGGGGGATTTTCGACGAAAAATAAAAATACTCCAAACATACTCCCAAATGGTCAGAACATACTCAAAAGTAGTCCCCAGACTATTTTTTTACTATTTTTGAATAGTCCCCCTATAGAGGGACAAGCCCGACTTAAGATTTGCGTCGTGCTTCTTCAAGGTCTTGTCCACGCCAGCCTTCTTACAGAAATCGAGGACGTGCATGGTCGACTCGTACTTGCTCTTGGGAGGCTCCTGCTCCAACCATGGGCATCTCGACCTTGCTACTGGGCGGCACCGCTCCTCTGCACGACGCGCGCCTCTCACAAGACTGCACTTCCCCGCAAGCCACAGAGACCTTGTGGACCGCCCAGGGGCGCACTCGTGTTGGATCGCTTGAGCCAGGGCAGCTGTGGACCACCGGGCACTGCGGAGCTTGATCTCGGCGGCAAGCGAGGGCGGGAAGTGAGAGGGAGAAGGCCTTCTCAGAAGGCTCGGAAGTCCCCCGGCCCTCTGAGAAGTTTGCTAAGCCTCCCCCGAAGATGGAGACAACTTCCCAGGAGGCGCGGGGGCTTCTGAGGAGCCCCGCCGCCTTCTGAGAGGGCCTCCTCCTTCTCGTTTCCCCCTCCCGCTCGCCGCCGATGGTCGAATGTCGTGGTGCCCAGCAGGAGGAACGGTCCGTGCCACGCTGCCAACGCTCTGCTTGCGGCCGCACCGCCGGCGCCAAGCACACGAGGCCGGCACAGAAGGGGACCCGCCCAGCCTTCTCGACAGCGCCTCGAGGGCCCCCGCATGACAGCGTGCCATGTCTTGGCAGACGCGGCCGTGTCGGTCCCTGGAGCTGATGTGCACCTACAGGGGGGCCCGCACTCACGGTTTGGGATGTTTTCGAGACGGGGGCCATACAACACGACGACGACGACGACAATACGACGACGACGACGACGACGACGACGACGACGACGACGACGACGACGACGACGACGACGACGACAATACGACGACGACGATGACGACGACGGCGACGACGACGACGGCGACGACGACGACGACGAAGACGACGACGTTGACGGCGCACGGTGGCCCCGCGGGCGTCTCCCAAGAAGCTCCCACGAGGCTCCAAGGCGGCCCCAAAGCTGCCCCAGAGAGGCATCCCCGAGAGCCCTCCGAAGAGACCCCCGGCAGCATCCGCGAGACCCACGACCCGGGCACGTCGGCAGGAGGGGCCGAAGGAGGAGGAAGAGGAGGCGGAGGAGGAGGAGGAGGAGGAGAAGGAGGCGGAGGAGGAGGAGGGGAGGGAGGAGGAGGGGGAGGAGGAGAGGAGGGAGGAGGGGGGGGGAGGAGGAGGAGGAGGAGGAGGAGGAGGAGGAGAGAGTGGAGGAGGAGGAGGAAGGAGGAGAGAGGAGGAGGGGGAGGAGTGGAGGAGGAGGAGAGGAGGAGGAGGAGGAGGAGGAGGAGGGAGGAGGAGGAAGAGAGTGATGGAGGAGTGGGGAGGAGGAGAGAGGCGGAGGAGGAGGAGGAGGAGGAGGAGGAGGAGAGGAGGAGGAGGAGGAGGAGGAGGAGAAGAGGAGGGCGGAGGAGAGGAGGAGGAGGAGGAGGAGGAGAAGGAGGAGGAGGAGGGAGGAGGAGGAAGGAGGAGGGAGGAGGAGGAAGGAGGAGGAGCGGAGGAGGCGGAGGAAAGGAGAGAGGAGGAGGAGGAGGAGGAGGAGGAGGAGGAGGGGAGGTAGGAGGAGGAACCACGCAAGACTGCAACGACGCCCACGGAAACACGCTCTCGGAGGGCAGGCGCCCCGCACGGCGAGGAGGAGGAGGAAGGAGGTGGAGGCGGAGGAGGAGGAGGAGGAGGAGGGAGGACGGAGGAGGAGAGGAGGAGGAGGAGGGAGGAGGAGGAGAGGAGGTAGGGAGGAGGAGGAGGAGGAGGAGGAGGGAGGAGGAGGAGGAGGAGGAGGAGGAGGAGGAGGAGGAACAGGAGGAGGGACGCGGAGGGAGCACGAGGCCTGCTGGGGGGAGGGAGGAGGAGGGCAGCTGAGCAGTTTCTTTGGGTGGAGGGCAAAGGGTGAAATCTCAAATGCCGTTTCGATTGGTTTTCGAGGCTTGGATCTGCAAAAAGCAAGCAGCATAACGGATTGATATTCGAGGTGCAAAAAACCCATGTGGATTTCACCCTGAGCCCTCCACCCTAAGAAAATGCTCAGGACATCTCAGGACAGACGGAGGATGCAGGGACAAGGCAGGAGGACGGAAGGGGACGGAGGGAGGCGAGGGGAGGGGAGGGGAGGCGCGGGAGGGCGCGACGAGGAGGAGGAGGAAATAGCAGGGGAGGTGTGAGAGGGGAGGAGGGGGAGGATAGAAGACGAGGTGTGAGAGAGACAGGGAAAGAGAGAGAGAGAGAGACGATAACAGGAGGGTGGCAGGGGATGACATTGGGGCATGGAGGAACAAGAGGGAGGTGAAACGAGAAGGACTACTCACTTGCCAGGAGAGAGGCCCCGTCTCCATTGAAGGGTTGCTGGAATCGGCAATACATCGACCTGGAATCGGCGATACAGCCTCGATTGATCGACGATGGGCCCCCGATGCTGAACCCGCACCTTCCTGGGGGGGGTTGGGGCTATCGGGCCCCTATCGGCGGTCAGTGGGCGCTGCGAGGTCGATGCGCTCCCCTCTGTGCCTATCCCCTCCCCTTCTCGCTGCCCCCGACAACGATACACCCCCCTGCTCCAGCAGACCGCGCGTGTGCGCTTCGGGCCCGACCGACGGCCGGGGGGAACCAACTCGTGGACACTGAAGGGACCCTGGGACACACAAATGAATGCAAATCAATACACACAAATGACCGGATCCTCCATATTTTCCTATATTTTCTGAGTTTTTGTCTTCCCCCCCACTTCCTATATCTTCCCATGTGTTCTGGGGAATCGACGATTCATTGTGTCTGTGTGTTCTTTTCCCTCCTGAGACACTCCCCCGCTCCCCCGGTCTCGGAGTTGGCACTCGCGGGGGAGGCTGCAGTCGCAGTGGAGCTCATCAGGCCCACCGCCAATCCCAATAAAAAGAATACCGTGAAAAAAAAACATAAATAACCAATAACCTCTGCAAAAAAAAAAAACTCTCTGAACTTGTGAAAGAACTGAAAAACCTTGGGGGGGATGGGGGGGGAGGCGTGGACCGAGGACCGCGGCGTGCGTGTGCGCTAGGAAAATGAAGAGGATGCGGAGGATGAGGAGGAGGATGAGGAGGAGGAGGAGGAGGAGGAGGAGGAGGAGGCGCTGGGGGGGCCCCCGGGCCGGGCGATGGGCGCCTGCTGGCCTCGGCCTCGCGCTGCGCCTCGTGGCGCCAGCTGAGGACCACGCCGCGCAGCAGCCCGCGCCTGGGGCCGAAGGCACCGCGCGCGGGCACCGGCTTCGGGGGCGGCCCAGAGTCTCGACAGGGGGAAGAACGGTATAACATAAACCTTTTCGCCGTCGGGGACACCTGCCCCAGGGCGGCTGGAAAGGTTCTACCCCCACGGTGGCACCGTGGGGGTATATAACTTTCCCAGCCGCCCAGGGGCAGGTGTCCCCGACGGCGAGAAAGTTTATGTTATACCGTTCTTCGCTCGCTGAAAGAGGGGGGCAAGCAAAAGGGGGGGGGCGCAAACCATGGCCGGCGGCATGTGCGCGGCCCAGGGGGTGGGGGGGAGGGTGGCCGGGGACGCGCTGAAATGAGACGGGGCGCCATGAGATCTGAGGAGATCTCATGGCCCCCGCCACGATATCCCCCCCTGCCCTAATTAGTCCTCACCGCCCTCTTGGCCGCCCCCGGAGCACCACGCACAGGCACGACTGGCTCAGCGTGCCCTCCGGATCCGGGCGCCGGCGCCGGGTGTCAGTCGGCGGCGAGCGAGGGGAGGCAACGAGAAGAGAGAGAGGGCCTCCTCTGAGGGCGGCGGGCCTTCCCGGAAGCCCTCGCGCTTTCTGAGAATGCTTTTCTCTCTTCGGGGAAGGCTCAGGAAGCTTCTCAGAAGGCCGGGGGACTTCCGAACCCTCTGAGAAGGCCTTCTCCTTCTCACTCCCCCCCCCTTGCTCGCCGCCGATTCAGGCTCCAAGGCCCGCACAGATCGATCCGGCTCGGAACAAGGCGCAGGTTTTGGGCTCCGGTCGTGACTCTCGCGATGTTGCGCTTGGCTCGCAACATCGGGCCTCAGGGTGTCGCGGCGGCGGCCCTGGCGACACGCTATGCCCTGCAAGCGGATGGCGTGTTGCTCCGCTCTGCAGGGGGACCAGGACACGAGGACAGCGTGTCGCGCCGAAGCCCAGTGAGCCAGAACTGGCTGGGCGACACGCTGAGCCAGAATTCCCGACCGTACCGAATTCCTTTCGCTCCCCCAACTCGCGCGGAGCGCCGCGAGAAGCGCGAAGAGAGCCCACCTTCGCGCGGCCCCTGGAGAAGAGCAGCTCTCTAGCCCGTGCCGCGATGCGCAGAGCGCGGCTGTCTTCGCTCCCATGCAGGGCGTCCCAGACAACGCACGCTTTTTTGGAGTCCCAACCTATCGCATGCTTTCGGAACAAGGGCACCTAGACACGATACCCAGTCCCGCAAGTTGATGGATGACGATGCGCCCGCGCTTTCGGGGCCCTGGGGCCCTCCTCGAAAGCCTCCGTGAACCGAAGAGGGCCAAGCAATCCTGGAAAGCAGAACACGGATTCCATGACGCACCTCCCCCACGGGATCCCTCTCTTGCTCCCTGGCATCCGCCCCCATGCCACCACCCACATTTCTCCCCCTCCGCCATCCCTCTCCCTCCCAAGTCACAGCTCTCCCTGTCGCACCCCCAGGCGTGACGTCTTCGGCGCTCCCCCCTCGCGAGCCTCGCGAGAGGCTCCGTGGAGGCCCCCGGTGACCGCCAGAGACCTCCGAGAGCCTCCCTCCTTCTGCTCCTGCCCGGCGCCCGCCCGGCAGCAGCAGGACGGCGAGGCCCCCGGAGGCGTATCAGACCCGGGATCCGACCTGCAGAGCAGCGCTGCGCCTTCAAGCCAGCATGGGCTGGTACACGAACACCCACACACACACGAACACCCACACACACGAACACACACACACACGAACACACGAACACAAACACACGCACACACACACACACACGTACACACACAAACACATACACACAAACACACACACACACACATACACACAAACACAAACACGCACACACACACACGAACACAAACACAATCACACACACACACACACGAGCACAAACACACACACACACTTCCACACACACACGTACAGACTCACCTATACGACCATCCTTCGGTGATAAGGAGGTTCGGGGGGGGAGTAGCCACAGTCCCACTCAATCGACCTCGGTACCGATCTCACTATCGATCTCACGATCGATCCCACTACATATCTCCCTATTATAGGTCTCACCATCGATGCCCCTATCGATCTCACTACCGATCCTACGATCGTTCTCACTATCGCACCCGCGATCGGTGCCCTATCGATCCCACGATCGATTCGATCCTACTCAGAAACCGAGTTGCACAACAGCGCTGAAACTCCACGCCCACACACAAACAAACAAACAAACACAGCACACACATACCTACAAACGTACATATACGATCATCCTTCGGGTTGCAAGGAGTTTCGGAGGGAAGAACCCAACGTCTCACTCAATCGACCTCACTATCGATCTCACGATCGGTCGCACTAGCGACCTCACAATCGACCTCACGATCGATGTAATGCAGTTCTCACTATCGATCTCAATATCGATCTCACTGCCTATCCTACTACCAATCTCTCTATCGAAGCACCTATCGGTCTCACTATCGGTCTCACTATCGATCGCACTGCGGGACACCGACGGGACACCACTATCGATCTCAATACCGATCTGACTCGATCGATCTCACTATCGCGCTCAATATCAGTATCACAAGGGATCGCACTATCGATTTCACTATCGATCTCGCCATCGATATCACTATCGAACTCTCTTTGAATTTCTTCATCGATATGTACTGGCCGCCTTACCGATCTTTCTATCGATCCCACTGCTGAAATCACGATCGACCTCACTCTCGATCTCATGATTGATCCGACGATCGGTCTCGCCATCGATCCCACTACAGTCGAGGCGTTGACCTAAGGAACCCTAAATAAGGAACGAGGCCCCTTTCATCCGGAAGTTGAACCTGGATTTCCCTTCGAAAACCGAAGCAAAACCCGAGGCAAACTGTGAAACAATCACGGAACACCGAGCCCCTCCCCAACGAGAAGGGTTCCTTCTTCAGCGCCCCGACTGTATATCTCACTGCCGGTCTCACCATCAACCTTACCATTCAGACCACTGTCGATGCCACCACGGGACACCGCAGGACACCATCGGGCCACCACGGCGGGACACCATCGGCGGGACCACCCCGGCCACTGCCGCCCGACCAGGAGTCAACCATCGGGGGGGTGGCGGTCTTTCGTGAAGGGGCCCCAGGACACAGAAATAAAGGCACACAAATACAAACATGCCCCATATCTTCGTATATTTTCTGGGTTTTCGTCTTCCCCCCCACTTCCCATATCTTCCCATATTCTCCTGGGAATCGACGATTAACTCTGTCTGTGTGTTTTTTCCTCTCCTGATTTTGGCCCAGCGGCGCCCTAGCCAGAGGAGGGTTCATTCATTCCGCCCGCCCCACGCGGCGTCGCCTCGCCCGCACGCGCGGCACGAGCACGAAACCGGCACCCATGTTCTGGTGGGTGGCCCTCGGATTCCATGCGCTATCACCCCCAACTTCCGACATCCATACACATACATACATAGATACATATATGCATGCGTACGTACGTGCACACATACATGTATACATACATACGCACATCCAGAAATCCATACACACACATCCATACATACTTACATACATACTTATATACCTATGCGACAAACCTGCGGGTGATAAGGAGGTTTGGGGGGGCAGCAATGGGCAACAGTGGTGACTGTTGTTCTGACGATGCCTGTGGTGCGCATATCGATGTGCATGTCGATTTGCTTTTCGATCTGCATCTCGATGTGCATGTCGACATATCGATGTGCATGTCGATTTGCTTTTCGATCTGCATCTCGATTTGCATGTCGACTCGCATTGGAAAGCTCGCCGCAGGCGCCAATTTTTAAATACACAACCCACGGCGCCTTACGACTTGCATTTGGATGTGCATGTCGATTTTCATGTCGATGTGCTTTTCGGTTTGCATGTCGGTTTGCATGTAGACTTGCATTAGATAGCTCAACGCAGCCACGGCGGGACACCAGCGGGACACTAGCGGGACACCGCGAGGCACCGTTTGCCGGGTGGAAAGGCTTTTGGTCCGGCCGCGGCCCGGCCACAAGAGGAGTTCGGGACACCAGCGGGACACCCGCGGGACACCGCGGGCCAACGGCCGCCGGAGGCGAAACATTTGGTCCAGCCGCGGCCCAGCCACAGGAGGATTCCGGGACACCAGCGGGACACCACCGGGACACAGCGGGCCACCGGCCGCTGGAGGAGAAACATTTGGTCCAGCCGCGGCCCAGCCACAGGAGGATTCCGGGACACCAGTGGGACACAGGCGGGAAACCGCGGGCCACCGGCCGCTGGAGGAGAAACATTTGGTCCGGCCGCGGCCCAGCCACAGGAGGATTCACTCTCGCCCGCCCACGCAGCGTCGCCTCGCCCGCACGCACGCACGGCACGCACGACACGAACCCGAAACCGAAATCGATTTCCGGGTAGGGGGGGCCTCCGTTTCACGTCGGACTCGCCCCCCACTCTCCGATACATACATGCATGCATGCGTGCATACATATATATATACATATATATATATATATATATATGTATGTACACCTTGTTATACACATCTGTATTTAAAAAAAAACATAGCTGCATATAAGATCGGAAGTGTGAAGGTCATATATCACTGAAGTGGAGAGCCCCTGCACCAGAAAATCGGTTTCAGTTTCGTGTTCGTGTGTGCGTGCGGGCGAAGCGAAGCTGCGTGGGCGGGCGAGAAGACTGAACGCTCACTTGCTGGAGTACGAGAGATTCCGAGATCGATAGTCGGACCGATAGTGAAGTCGAGAGTGAGATCGACAGTAATATCGCGACTAAGATCGGTAGAGAGATCGATAGCGAGATCGATCGTGAGATCGATTGTGTGGTCGATGGTGTGATCGAACCTGAGATCGATAGTTAGAGGGATAGAGAGATCGATAGCAAGGTCGGTGGAGAGATTGATCGTGTCATCGATAGTGAATCTGATGGAGTTATATCGGTAGTCGGTGTCCTGTCGGCGTCCCGCCGATGTCCCGCAGTGAAATCGACAGGGAGATCGAAAGTGAGGTCGGTAAAAACATCGACAGTGAGATGGATAGGAGGCGATACTGAGATCAATCGTGACATCGAAGGTGAGATCGATGGTGAGATCGATAGGCAGATCGACAGGGGGGTCGATAGTGATAACGATTGAGTGGGACGTTGTTTCCTCCTCCCCGAAGTTCCTTATCACCCGAAGGGTGGTCGTTCCCCAATCAGCGTTTACACTGCAAGGGGTCCTAGCGGACATAGAAGAAATTTGCGAAAGTAGCGGGCCGACTTCGCTGGGCGGCTCTCGGTGGGCGGCTTTCGGTGGGCGCACCCTCAAGAGATTGGCGTAAGTAGCCAGCCGGTGTCGGTCGGAGGCTCTCGGTGGGCGGCTGTCGGTGGGCGCCCCCTCTCTATCTTTTTCTTCTTATGTTGATGTTTTTCCCCGTGTCATTCTCTCCCCTCTCTCTATCCTCTCTACCCCCCTCTCTCTCTCATTCCCCTCTCTCTCTCTCTCTCCCTCTCTCCCTGTCTGGGTAGTTCCTTATATTACCTATGTCTCGCTCTTTGGTACGCAATACATTATTGAATCGCTTTGTCTGATATGTTTTCTCCGTGTTATGCAATACCCCTCTGTCTCTCGTCCCCCTCTCTCTCTATCCCTGTCTCTCTCTCTCTCTCTCTCGCTGGGTAACTCTTTATACCTGTCTCAAATGTTTGTTCTCTCACGCTATGCCATACATTATATTGTCGTGATTTTTGATTGGGACTTTTCTCTGGTGTACTATAATTATACAGGTATGTTCATCACCCGTTGCATCACTCTCTCCCTCTCTTCTTCTTCTCCCTCTCCCTCTCCCTCCTTTGCTCCATCTCTCCCTTTCCCTCCTTCCCTCTCTCTCTCTCTGCCTCTGCCTCTCCCTCTCCCTCTCCCTCTCTCTCACTCTCTCTCTCTGCTCGCCCAATTCCTCGCGGCGGCACGCCTCTCGCCCCTCGCCGCTCCGATACTGTCAGTAGTGACATTCTACTGGCGAAGCTTTCGGCGACAAAACGCCAATCAAAAAATAAACGATTTCAACTAAAAATGAATGGCGTAGCGTTGGTAGAGGCGCAACTATCTGATTGCGACTGCCGCGCGCGCCGAAGCGCAAAACCACCGCACGAAGCACAAGCGGGTCCCGGTGAAAACGGGCCACTGGCTCGCAGCCCCGAATGCCACCTCCAAGGGGGCGAGGCAGCCTTGCCGACCGGGAGTCTCGCGACTGGGGGGCGAGACTAAAGGTGCCGCGGCCCGCGCTCGAGCGCCGGCCTCGAAGGCGGCCGACATCTCGCCCTCGCCCCCGGTCCGGGCACCCCGCCTGCCAGGGATTCCCGCGGGTGCCGCCGCAGGGGCCGGGGGTGTCATTCTGACTAGCTACCAGACCACCCGAACCCCACCCGAAGACCTGAATTTCGGGTTGGGGGGGTATGGTCTCCATTTTTGCGTTTTTCCCATGTTCCCCGACACCCCCCACCGGAAATGGAGGGCAAATTGAGGCCTCGGGGTTGGGTTGGTTAGGGTGCCCCAAAAGGGGGTCCAGCTGAAAGAGGGTGGTGCAATAGATTTGGGGCAATCGTATTGCAAACGTGTTGCGCTGGAGAATTGTATTGCATTGTATTGCAGCTAACGCATTGCACGCGGAAATCCAGCAATACATTTGCGCCCCAGAATGTACTGCACGCCCCAAATGCATTGCAACCCAACAGATCTACTGCACCAGATCTATTGCACCACCCCCTTGTCGCTGGACCCCCTTTTGGGTCAACCCGAGTTGGGGTGGTTTGGCGGGTGGTGACATTCTGGGTTCTCACGGGCCCCGCGCTCCTCCCCAGGGACCAGCCTTAAGCCAGGCCTGTCCCCCTACAGGGGGATTTGCGACGAAAAAACAAAAAAAAAAAAAAAAAAGAAAGTACACAACAAATACCTCACAAAGGCAAACAAATAGTCCAAAAATAGTCCCCAAATTATGTTTGGAGCATTGTTTGGGCGAATTCTGGTGTATTATTATTTTTCGTCGAAAATCCTCCTGTAGGGGGACAGGCCCGACTCAAGATCAGCTGCTCCTCCTGGGCTCCGGGAGGGCAGGCGCGGCGCTGGAGAGGAGGCTCCACGAACGGACCGGCGGTGCTCGGGAGCAGCTCCTGGGGGCCGACCTCCAGGGACGGCCAGCGGCCTCCGAAACGGACGCGTCCACGTCGACGTCGTCGTGCTCCAGGATACCCCCCCTTTCTCTGCTGAAAAAGCGGGGGGGGGGTCCATCTCACCGCTGCCCCGGGGATCGATCTTCGGGGGCCTCGGCCGGCGGCGGCGGGGAATGTATCCGTCGCCCACCCAGGGCCCGAGGGTAATCCATACCCTCAGGTCGGGCATGTCCTGCTACAGGCTGACTTTGGAGGGAAAATGCAAAGATAGTCCAAAACATAAAGAATCAAAAACTAGCCAGCAATAGTCAAACAATCGTCCCCAGACTATTTTTCTTCTATTTTATAATATTTCTCCTGTAGAGGGACATGCCCGACGCAAACCATACCCACCGCATGCAGAAGCTCCCGAAGGTCGAGCCCCCCAGGCGGTCGCTGTGGGCAAATATCCTCGCCTTTGCAATCTCAGAGTGAAGGGGGCGCGAATGGTCTTACACCATTCCTGTGTTATGATGTTCCACTTGTGAGCGTTTTCTTGTTCGGCGTTTCGACATTGGGCGGAAGGGGGGGGGGAGGGAGGGGGTCTGGCTCACTCTCTGCTTAATGCGGCTGTTTGCAACAGGGCTTCCATTATGGGGGCGGCTCCACCTGCTCGAAAAAGGCGCCAAAAAACAACCAAGATCCACTCCAGGGGGGGTGGGGGAGGGGGGCTGCGAGGGCCCGCGCCGATAGGCAAAACAAGGAATAAAACAAACTATCACCTTTCGCCTTCACCTCCAGAAAGAATTTCGAGCACCAAGAGAAAGTACCGAAACTGGAGGGATGTCACGCGTCGTGCCCTGGGGGCGATACTCGTTCGACGCTGCTTCGTTACCTTTCTGATGCTCGAGATACTTTCTGGAATGTGGTCCTTAAATACGATGGGACCAACACAGCGCGTTGGTAAAATTGGATTCCGCGACGCAGATTCTGCTTGTTCGTTATCTGTTGTTTTGGTCGTCGTCTTCCCCCGTGGCCCACTCCGCGACCCACCTGCGACACATTCCGCGACCCACCCGCGACCCACTCCGCGATCCACCCGCGACCCGCCCCGCGACCCACTCCGCGACTCACTCCGCGACCCACCCCGCGACCCACTCCACGACCCACCCCACGACCCATTCCGCGACCCAGTCCGCGACCCACTCCGCGACTCACCCGCGACCTTCCCGCGATCCACCCGCGAACCACACGCGACCCACCCCGCGACCCACCCGCGAAGCATGCACGGCCCACCCGCGCCTCACTCCCCGAGCCCGCCCCCTCTGGGGAAACCGTTACCGATACTGCTGCTCCCTGGACCTCTCCGGGGGCGCGGTCTGACCAGGATCTCGAGGCGAATCCAGCGGTGGCAACGAGAGTCTCCGAGGAGACCGAAAGAGCTGAAAACGGGCGAAGGGTAGCGGCACTTGTAACTGTTCCTCCTCTGACCCTCACTCTTATCTGAAGCTGCGGGGTGCTGCGTATGCTGACCGACCGCTGCCGACCGCCAGCGGAGCGGCCGCCTTCGGTGGCAACTCATGGGAGCATCCCGTGCCATCTTGTCGGCTCAAGCGAATCGACGCTGGTCGACGCCAGTCGACGCTAGATCGACGCTTATCGACGCTGAACTGGCGCTATCTCTTCGACTCCCAGACGCTAATCGACGCTACAGTCGGACTCGATTGGACAGGACACGCGAGAGGACACAAGACCCTTCCGAAGGCCACATCGCCGTTGGAGTGTAAGAAGGCACGTGTCGCGAGGCACAGGACACAAGAGTACCCTTGATCTGGCAGGGTCGACCTACTAATCCGGGCCGACTGTAGTCGACGCGAAAGGCGGAATTCAGAGGATATACCAGGCTCCCGTGATTTGCTGCCGAAGCCGCTGGCAAGTTGCCTGTCGCCCTCCAGCGCCCAGACCATGGTCAAGCACGTCACCTCCGCGCCGGCAGGCGACGCCGCGGGGGCGCGCGGGGTCAGAGAGCGTGCTCCCTGCCTGCGCGGCATCTCCCCCCCCTAAGACGAAACCAGGACGAGGACAAGTTCGGGCGAAGCTACACCGAGAATCTCTGAGGTCCGACTGGAGGATCTATCAGGCGGGCCTTCTCAGAGCGTTCCGGCACGCTCTGAGAACGTTCCAGCACCTGGCCATCGCTCGGACGTCCATTCCATGTGTTTTTTGTCGGTTTCGTGCGTGGTTTTTTTCGCCAAATGATCAAGGATGCTCCTCGATGGTCCTCGCCGAAGGAAAAATGCACACGTCCGAGCGATGCCAAGGCACGCTCTGGAACGGACTTATCCTCGTCTCCGCCTGTCCGACCCCCCCCCTTCGCCGACGCTGGGGCGAAGAGGCGTGCAGGTGTGTCCCGACTCGCGTGAAGTGCTGGTTCCCTCTAGGGCCTCGCAGTCCCCCCCCCCAAACCACCTTCCCCCAAAGTGGGCGTGCCAGAGTCGATAGAGAAACGCGCACTTATGAAGCAGCTCCTGGAAGTTCTTTGTCAGACGACTAAAACCTCTTAGGCGGGTACTGAGCCCGAGTAGCCGAACTACTATAAGCGGGATTGGACCAGATTCGGCCAGTTCTTGACCAGGGATATGCCAGCGCTGCTTCTGACCTTCAACCTCCGAGGAGTTGCATCCTAAGTGGTGTGTGTGTGTGTGCCCTGATGAGCTTTGCCCTCGCCGCTCGGGGATGGAAGAGAAAAGAGAGCTGATCGGAAGGTGTCCGGAGCCGTCCTCTGGCGTCTGGGTGTCTGTGTTCAGCTCGCCTTCCCGGAGGCATCCACAAACCTCCGGGAGGCCTCCAGGTACGCCCCGGGCGTCCCGGAATCCCCAGGGACCTCTGGGGCTCCAGAGCGGAGCGAAACCTTAACTGGGGGGGGGCGCCGAGGAGAAGGGGAGAGGGAGGGCAAGGCCGAGGGAATCCTCTTTCTTCTGATGTCTTCTTTTATTATTTTGCGGCTGTGATGTGTCTTCTGCTTGCCCTCCCCTCTCCCCTCCATCTCCTTGCCGTTCGGAGCAGCTCCAGCTCGTCGCAGCACAAAACGCGCGTTGGCACGGCGGGCCGGGCCGATATCGCCAGAGGCTCCCTCACCGCTGCGGGTCCCAGGCCATGGGCAGCCCTGCAGTTTGTGAGGAAGGGGGGGGGATAGTTTTCAAAATGCGGCTCTTGCCTTTGTAGGGGGCCACATGCGAAGGTGGAGTTCGCTTCGCTCGGGAGCTCTCGCACGAAGTGAACCCCGCCCTCCCCCTCAGAAATCGTGGGGGGTAGAGGTAGGGTTCGCATGTGGCCCCCTACTTTGCTCCGAATGAAGTCGCCCCAATTCCCAGCAAATTCGTGCCGCCCTCTGACTGTGTGCCATTTGCGCAGCGTCCCAAGTCTGACCGTGCATCCCCGGGCCAGCATACGTGTTCCTCGTGTGTTGCAATCGATATTAGCCAGCGTGGACCCCACATATTTGTTTGGGCCGTGGAGACGAAACATAACATCTGAAAGCTACGCTGTGCAAGCGCTGCGGTGTGCGCTATGTGGTGCATGTTATATTGTGCAAGCCGTGTGGTGTGCAAGGTGGGGTAAGCTGTGTGGTGTGTTACATCTGTGGTAGGACTTATATCGTGTGATCTTCGCCGTGTAGCAGTTGTGGTGGTGCTGGCGATGTGGTGAAAGACATTGGGCCCCACTCAGTGTAGACTGTACGGTGCGAGCCAGGGTGCGCAATCTGTGTGGCGAGAGGCCGTGTGGCCTGAGGCCGCGCGGTGCAGGCCACGTTGTGCAAGCCATGTGGCGCAAGCGCACACGGGGCGCCTGCCGGGCGACCACTGGCGCCTCGTCGTCGTCCTCCTCCTCGTCGTCGTCGTCCTCCTCCTCGTCGTCGTCGTGCAGGCGTCCTCGTCTTCGTCGTCGTCGTCGCCGTCGCCCTCGTCGCCGTCGCCAGCGAAGCCTCGGGAAACCCACCCGAGGAGCCCACGGGGGCGCCCGCGACAGGACCGCGGGCGGGCACGCGGAAGGGGCCCCCCCATGGCGCGGCAACAAACGCCGCGGAGGGCCCAGGCCCACCCCGGGAGCGCACGGGGGGGGGGGGGCGCCCCCGAAGGGCCCCCCGCGAACTGTGGCCATCGCTCGGACGCCCATTCTCCGTGCTTTTTCCGGTTTCGCGCGTGTTTGTTTTTGTTCCGCCAAGGGATCGAGGATGCTCCTCGGTGGTCCTCGCCGAAGGAGAAATGCACACGTCCGAGCGATGCCAAGCGAAGGGCGGGCGCGGGCGCGAGGCGCGAGGCGAAACCTCGACGGCGAGGCCCACGCGGCGCCCGGGGGCGCCCACGAGGAGCCCACGAGCGGGGGGCGCGGGCGCCGGCGTGGCGCAAGAGCGCTCGGCGAAGCCATGCGATGACGCGACTGGGCGCAAGCGCGCCTCTGGGGGAATGGCCACAACGGATAGCCATGCGAGAATGCCCTGCTTCCCATGCCTGTCCCGGACGGCGAGTCCAATAAGAACTCCTGTCGGGGACGGACAGAAACGCCTTTAGCAAAACGTGGTTTAGTGAAAACGACCTCGGGTCCAAACCTGGCGGGCGCAAGCCTGGAAGATGACGGCCGCGGCGCCCTCTCGAGAACCGAGAGCGGACAATTCACTAATCGTAGTGTCAGGGTGGGGGTTCTGGCCAAGACGGATATGCGAGAATATCCTGTTTCCCGTGCCTGTCTCGGGCGGATGCGCTTCCTCGCGCACGCGCTAAACCAGCGGATCCGAGTCTTCCAGCGGAGGTTACATATGGCCACGACTGGAGGCGGACCACGGCGGCGACGAGGAATGGATGGATGGATGGATGGATGGATGTATGGATGGATGGATGTATGGATGTATGGATGGATGGATGGATGGATGGATGGATGGATGGATGGATGGATGGATGGATGGATGGATGGATGGATGGAACGGACCGCCCCGGGAGGGGGGAAGGGGGGGGGGGGCGAGCATGCAGGAGAGCAGGGATTGCGGAGCGCCAGTCCTCATTCAGAGGAGACGAGCAGGATGGACAAGAGGACGGGAGGAGAAGGGGCAAGGAGTCGTATCCGTCCATCCGTCCCTGGCGTCTTCGTGCCGTTCTGTCCCCGCCCTCCGTCGCTCCCCTTGCACACTAGTCTCTGGTTGCATGAGCGCTACCTCCCGAAGTTGGGCAGGGACCGAGCGTCCCGGCATTTCTATAGGTCTACCACGAAAAGTTCTCTTAGAACCCCAAAATGTTTTAAGACCAAGAACACAGTTCTTAGAACATACCCCCGATGTGCTCATACAAGACAGTCCCAGCCGGAAATGTTCTAAGAATATGTCGTGCAGACCACAAAACGTTATGAGAACAATCTTTGGTGGGCCCACTTGCGAGCCAGGACGCTTCGCCACTGCCTGGGCGCTGAGGCTTCGACCTGGGTTCGCAATCG